CCTCGAGTTTCATAAGACAGGTCATGATCTGGCGAAGCTCGGAGCGTTGGCTCACGAGAAGCCGAGCGCCGCACAGACCAAGTGGCTGGACACAGCCCTTGCAATCGCCACGGCGATCTGCATCCTTGCTGCCAGGCCGCTCCCGCTTTGGCCGCCATGCGACCTCTCGCAGGTTACCAGAGTCAGGCTTGAGGTTCCCCCGCAGGCGCCGAATGTCAGGCGCGAGCTGATGTGGCACGAGCAGTATTGGCAACGCTAGCAATGTCCGAGGGCAACTCGGATGATGTGGCCCCACAGCAGTGTGCTCGAAGACGCGCAAGCTTCTCGGCAGCGGGTTGTCAGAGCTGGGCCACATGTGTCTGGGTTTGTTTTGCTCCGATGGCAGCCTCCTCGTGGTTTGCTGCAAGTGCGTGTCCTTTGTCACTGGTAGGTAATAGAGGCACCTCAACCAACAATGCTTGGGCGGTGCTCACAAGACCCGCAGTGGCAAACACTACTGGAATCGGACCTGCGTTGGCAATCACCCCAAGCTGGACGGTGTTTGGCTTGACGTGGAGGCCATCAGTGTGATCAGGTTTTTTTCTTGACTCCTTGGCGCTATTTTGGCGCCAGTGCCGCGGGCCGTCATGTGGGCCGTTGCGGGGGGTGCGGGCTCGATCTGGGGCCTCTGGCCGTCCTTTTCGCTGCGGCACCTGCGTCGGTCGCTCCCCTCTGTTTGCGCGGCCGTGGGGCGATGGAGGTAATAATCCCCCTGTGGCGGCGGATGCACAGAGGGGCAGCCCGTCGCTGGCACTTTCGGTTTCTCGCCGTGCTGGTCAGCGGGTTCGATCTGGGGCCTCGGGCTGTCCTTTTCATTGCTGCTCCCGCTCGGCGCTCGATCGCTTTGCCGCCCGCAGGGTCGAAGTTCTTCCCCTTTGGGCCTGGCGAGGCGGGCGCATCGTGTGCTTGCGCCCTTGGGGCACGGGAGAGCTCAGGCTCTAAGCTCTCCGACAGTGGCTCCTCTGGCTGCCCTCGGCGCCGACGCGTCTTGGGCGCAGCCTCCTGGCCTGGCCACGGGGCAACGCCCTGTCGCGTGGCCTGCCAAGCTCGTCTTTGCAGGCACCGGCACCGCCGTCACCAGGTCGGCGGTCTGTGACCTGCAGTCACCTGCAGGCGGGTTTTTCAGCTGTCTTGTGCGCCGCCCAGCCAACGCGCAGAGGCGGCTTTTGGCCGTACTCGGAGGCCACCTTGTTGCGCCCCCAGGCGTGAGAGCGCGAAGAGGTAAACAATCCTCCTCCTCCTCCTCCTCCTCCTCCTTCTCCTCCGCCTCCTCCTCCGCCTCCTCCGCCTCCCCCTCCCATTCCTCCTCCTCCTTCTCCTCCTCCTCCTCCTCCTCCTCCTCCTCCTCCTCTTCCTCCTCCTCCATCTCTCCTCCTCCTCCTCCTCCTCCTCCTCCTCCTCCTCCTCGTCCTCCTCCTGCCTATGGGAGTGGTGGAAAATGGGCCCATCAACCCCTGCTTCGTCCGGCGACTTCTGGGGGCTCTTGCAGCTTCGGCGGCCCTTCGGAGGTGCTTCGACGCCCCTCGTAGGCCCAGAACGGCCCACCAGAGATGTCCACTGCAGGCCCCAAGGCTGCCCAGCTCAGGTCCACGAGGGCTCGTCGAGAAGGGAAGACGAAGGGCGTCACATGTGACGGCGATCCTCCTCCTCCTCCTCCTCCTCCTCCTCCTCCTCCTCCTCCTCCTTCTCCCCTCCTCCTCCCGTCGGCTGTCGTGGTGTTCCTCCTCCTCCTCCTCCACCTCCTCCTCCTCCTCCTCCTCCTCATTCGGCGACCCTTCGGAGGCCTGGGATCGAGGGCCATCGGAGGACTTCGGAGGCCCGTCGGACCCGCGCGGCCTCTTCGCCGGGTGCGCCGCGACGCAGGCCCTCCTCGCGCGATCTGCGATGGCCCTCAGCCCGCCCTCGAGCTCTCCTGCCTCTCTGGACTGCGGCCATTGCGGCTCCGAGCCGAGGGCGCTAGTTGGAAGCAGTATGGCTGGTCTAAGTCAGACCCTTCCGAGTTCGCGTAAGATCGGCAGCAGTCGTACATGATCGCTTGTTGGGGTGATCAGAACTTGGTGAGCTGGATTCGGATTTGGATTCTTCGGAATGCGGCCTGTTTCCCGGGTCCCAGTCCTGAGAGACAGCTCCCCCGCCCCGGCGTCGATGGGTTGTGTCCGCGGGCGGCTTGCGTGCACCGCACCGCGTGGCGTTGTCGATATCCTCGGCTTGGGAATGGCTGTGCACCGTACCGCGCTAGAGCGGGGCCTGGAGGGAGTCCAGACATGGTGCGGCGCACAGGCGCCTTCCCCTCGTACTGCAGGCCCTTCAGGGTGCTGACACACGGCGCTCGGTGGCCGCTACCCCTCGGGGTGCGACCGCCTACGGGTAGCTCAACGGACAGCTCCCTGATTACAGTCAGCCTGCAGAGGAAGGATGATCGACTTCCCAAGTGTACCCTGCCTCTTCGGTCATATTCGGTCCATCCTCAACCACTTTTGATGGCCAGCCCCGCTCGCAGAGCCTCGGCATGGGCGTCCAAGGCCCCTCGCATCCTTCTTCTACGGGTTGACTGCATACCACGCCGAGCGCCCTCGGAGGCCTCCAGGGCCTCCGATTTCTCGACCACTTCCCAGGGACGAGTCGTTTTTGGATTGTCCCGAGGCCCTGAGGGCCCCGAGAGAGGCCGGAAACCATGAACGAAAAACCCTTGTCTCGATCTTGTCCGAGGCGCCAGAAGCTTGGGTACTCCAGATTTCGTAATAAAAGGGAGGGGGTCTGGACCCTCCAAGACAAGCCATTTCAGACCCCCCCCTGTGGGAGAACCCTCCAGAACATCGTCCCCAGACCCCCCCAGGCCCTCCAAGATAGCCTGGAAGAGACCCCCCCCGAAATGAGACCCCCCTCCCTTTATTACGAAATCTGGAGTATACGACGCCCAGGGCCCCCGCAGGCCTCCCGGGGCCTCTGCGAGGCCCTCTCCCCCGGCGGCCCCCTCCGCGGGCCCCTGCGGACGCCGCCGGTCCGCTCCGCTCCGCGCGGTTGGGGGCCTGTCCGCGGGCTCCCGGGAGGCCTGCGCCGGCCCAGAGGCCTCCGGAGGCCTCCGCCAGGAGCCGGCGGCGACTCGGGAGCCTACTCCACATTTCGGGGGGGGGGTCTCTTCCAGGCTATCTTGGAGGGCCTGGGTGGGTCTGGGGACGATGTTTGGGAGGGTTCTCCCACGGGGGGGGGTCTGAAATGGCTTGTCTGGGAGGGTCCAGACCCCCTCCCTTTTATTACGAAGTCTGGAGTAGCTTGGGCGTCGCGTGCCGAAGGGGCGATGATGGTGGGCGTGTTTTTCGGGGGTGGACAGACCTCCTACCCTGACACGTCGATTGGTGAGTCGTCCGTTTTCGGTTCTCGAGAGGGCGCCGCGGCCGTTATTTTCCAGGCTTGCGCCCGCCAGGTTTGGGCCCGAGGTGGTTTTCACTAAACCACGTTTTACTAAAGGGAGGTCTGTCCATCCCCGAGTTTTCCACCGCCACCACCAGAAGTAGGAGGGGGAGGGGGTCCTTATCCCCCTTTTCTTCTTCCTCCTCCTCCTCCTCCTTCACCTCCTTTCCCCCATCCATCTTGTGGTGGTTGTGGTGGAAAACGGGCCCATCATATGAATGGGGGGGACAGCGAGGGCTGCAGAAAAAGGGTCCTTCGGGGCTCCTCGAAGGGCCTACCTGGGCCCTTCAGGGCCCGAACTGGAACCTTTTGGGCCCGAGAAGTGCACTTTTCTTCACACCCCAGTTGTCGCCCCCCATTAAGCGACGCCCAACTACCCCTCGCAACTCGCCGATCAACGAGTCCGGCAACTCGCTGGGCGGCAGGGGGTATCAGAGGAGGAACAGGTAGCAATACTGCTACCCTTGCTTCGTTTTCACCCTTTTGGGGCCTCCTGGGCGGTCCTAATTTTGGTCAGAACACACCCTAGGAGAGTTCCAGGGAGTGGAGGTATCAGTACCTTGTCGTTTTCCTAGGGTAGAACCAGAGTTCGCCAGACAAGTGGCGGAATCCGAACATGCCCCTGCCTCCCATCGGTGCAGGAGAACCGGTGGCTGGTGGGGGTAGGGTTGGGATGTTGCCACCCGAGGAGCGCGCTGCCTCCGCGGCGGCGAGGCTTGGTTGTGTGTTCTTGTTGGACATTGATCGCGCTCTGGGGGCTCGTTTCGGTCCCCAGATGCCCGCGTGCAAACAATGCACGTCGCAAATTCCAAGTTGAGGCAGCAGCCTCCGCCGACCTCCGAGGGCGGAGGTCGGTACGACGCGATGCCAGAACTCGTGGCTCGCGTCGTGAAGGAAGGATCTGCCGCCCATGGCCATGGCGGCTTAACCCTGGGCGAAAGCCGGATGCACACGTGGCCGCAGAAGCTTTCCTGCGCTCGAGCTTGGTGTGCCCGGTCACGGCGAGCACGCCGCACCAAGTTCGAGCGCAGGAGATTGTCGCCTCAGAATGTTGTTCCGCAGCTGCGCCTCGCCGAAAGCGTTCCGCGGGTGCCGGAATCGTCCCCTGCCTGCGGCCTGATGGCCTTCGCTGGCCCTGGCGGTCAGCGCGTCTCTCCAGACGAGAGGCCTCGACCCTTGATCCTGGAAGCTTGATCCTCCTCCTCCTCCTCCTCCTGGAGGGAGCGGGGGAGGAGGGAGGATGAGGAGGAGGGAGGATGAGGAGGAGGGAAGAGGAGAAGAAGGAGGAGGAAGAGGAGGAGGAGGGAGGAGGAGGAGGAGGAGGAGGAGGAGGAGGAGGAGAAGGAATGAAGGTGGAGTAGGAGGAGGTGAAAGAGGTGGCAGGGATGGAGGGAGAGATGAGGAGAAGGAGGACGGACCAGGGTGGAGAAATGAGGAAAAAGGAGGGAGGAGGCGAAAGGAGGAGGCATGAGGAGGAGGAGGGAGGAAGGAGGCGGCAGGGAGGATGATATACTCCGAAGGAGGGAGCGGAGTGCCGCGCGCCCGCCGAGGCCGACGGCGCCGGGCTGGGCGGCTCCGCGTGCACCCCGGGCGCAGGCGCTGCCCCCCCCCCCCCCCCCCCAAAAAGGAGGAGGTGAGAGGAGTGGGGGGAAGAGGAGGAGAGGAGGAGGAGGAGGAGGAGGAGGAGGAGGAGCTGAGGAGGGGGAGGAGGGGGAGGAGTTAGAGGAGGAGGAGGAGCAGGAGGAGGAGGAGGAGGAGGAGAAGGAGGAGATGGAGCCTACCTTTAGTCCCCACTCCTCCTCTTTCGAGTTCATAGTCATTCCCTCCTGCCGTCCCCCTTCTCCTTCGCGTGACTGCCACTGCCGATGTCCTACTTTCATTATGGATATCCCACCAGCCCGCGGCTCCGAGAGCGAACGCTCCAGGAGTCGCCTGGCTATGTGTTTGACCGCCCCCCCCAGGAGGGCGACATCCGAAGGGTTTTTGCGCCTTCAGCTCGTCAGCTCGTCAGGAGGAGGAGGAGGAGGAGGAGGAGGAGGAGGAGGAGGTGGACCAGTGTAATTAATCAGCGATGGTACAGTAGCCCCTCCTTCCAAGTTCTCTCTTCACAGGTCCCCACAAGAGTCTGCTTCGTCGAGGCTCAGTGGCCTATTGGAAGACAGACGTCTGAGAATCATCCGTCCTGCCCAACAGCTACGCCTAGGACTTCGACGCTGGATCAGCGGCACTATTGCGCCCTGACCGTCCCCAACCGTGTCAGAACACTGGTTCTGGGAAATCAGCACCGCGAGTCACCGTGACTGTTGCGTCCTGACGATCCTGAATCGTGCCAGTACGACATTCCGAAGACTTCAGCTGCATGCATCCTTGAAGATGTCTGCGTGGCGCTCAGGGGGAGAGCTACATTTTGAAATTATTGAACACTTGTAAGACGAATGTGCGCGGCGCTAATGCGAGAGCCACGTTTCGATAAGGAACCACCCTCCATCATTGAAGTGGTTGCGAGCGTGTAAGGCGATTGTGCGCAGCGCTATGCGCGAAGGCGCAGGCCACATCTTGAAAGCGACCTGTCCTCCAAATTTGAAGCTGCTGCAACCTTTTAAGACGAATCGGCGCGGCTCTAGGGCGAGAGCCACAATTTGACAACAACCCGCCCTCCATCCGCGAAGCAGTTCCAAGCCTCAAGCTCCGATCATACATGGTGAGGAAGTCTTCGGAGAAACGCCTGGCCCGCCCCACCAACACGCCTCGGGGTGCGACAGGGAGGAATTACAAGGATGGAACAGGAGGAACAGCACGAGATGAGGAAGGGGACCGGTTAGGATTAGCGCAGGTAGAG